ATTAATATTTTATAATAATATTAAAAATTATAAGCTCTCTCGCTTTCAGTGTGCCGAGTGTGCCCAGTGTGCCCGGTGTGCCAAAAAGTCAGTCCCTCTAATTACTCGGTAACCCAAAAATGAATAGGTTATTTCCTAAAATAAAACAAACAATATATTACTAATTGATTACAGTTTCTCAATATACTGTTCAACTACTGGACCCATAAAATGGTGTCTTTTTATCATTTTCATAATTTTTATCAATTCTAGTAAACCTTAAATGAAATCAAATCATACATTCAAGTCAAATCAAAATCAAATCAAACTTTATTTGCAATCTCTAATTTTATTCATGAAAGCATAATTTAGATTAATATTTAAACACTTTAATATTTTACATGTCACGCATTAAAGGGGCATGGTAGAATTGTTTTATTTTATGAAAAGTATTATAACATTCTATAAACTTTTAGACATAAATTTATAATCTTTCTAAAGATTATTTTTATTTATTTAAAAATATAAAGTAGTAGTTTTTAATAATGCAATAAAATACTATTTTTATATAATTTAACAACCTAAACGCTGCCCAAAAATTAATATTTTGAGCATTTTGTAACTAATAATCATTTAGATTTAATTATAATTATTAAAACTATTTAAAAATAGCACCATTATTAATTCATTAATATCAAACTAAAAATTACCTCTCCAATAATTAATATATAAAATTTTTAAATTAAATTTTTAAATATTTTGAGATTTAATTACAGTCAACATATTTAAACTAATTTACAGTATAAAGAAATTCTGTTTAATATATTGATATCATTAACCAATTTATAAAAATTATTTCATATTTGATAGATAAAATAAATGTACAGCAAACAGTTTAATTGAATTTACAATAATTCATATTAAAGGTTCACAAAAATTTAATTCAAAATTTAGTTATTAGTTTACATTAATAATTATGAATAAATTACAGTTTTTAGTAGACATTTCGTTATATTTATTGAATATAATGTATAAATAATTTAAGTATATTTGAATTTATTCCTACTTTAAGTGCGTTAAACACAACATGAGTTTATTTCAAGTTTCTTTATAAATCAATTCACTTATCAAGGTCACATTATACAATATTCTAAACATTTAGTATATATTGGGCTTAAATGTTGTTAAAAGTAGTTAAAATTATCTACAAATCATTTTACATAAAAAGGTTTATTTAAAAATATAAGTTTATAGAAATTACTTAACATTTATAGCCAAACGTCGCACAGATTTCATACAATTGATGATAGACTCGGAAAAGTCGGACAAAGACTTCGGATACGACTCTATCGGTGATGGGGAACCGGAGTCTGAATCCAATTAATCCCTAAACAAAACACTGGTCGGTCAGCACACACCCGACGAACTCACGGCTCAGGGAATCCTATTTTTATGCCCGGGTACAACACTACGAGTGCCGCCCTAACCCATGCCATATACTACCTGTCCTTCATCCGGAGTGTCAACAAAGACTGTACGAAGAGTTGAAAACATGCGATGAGTTTACGTACGAAAAGTTGGTTCACTTGAAGTACTTGAATGCAGTCATCAGTGAAACCCAACGTCTGTCCCCATCCCTAACCCGTATACAACGCATGTGTCTAAAGGACTTCAAACTGGGAAATACTGGTAATTATCACCAAAATATAACTAAAACTAAATATAATCTAAAACTAAAAAGAATATAATAATTATTAAATTAATTCAGAGATCATATGATCGTCAACGTGCAGAAAAGAGTTATCTATTTTTCAATGAAAACTGTACACTAAACATAACCAAAGCACTCATACTAACAAACAGTGTAAATTATTTTTAAAATAAGTAAAACCGCATCATGACTTTTAATTTAGAAAAATTTAACAAATAGTTTATTATAATTAAATATTATAATATTTTAAATATATTTATTAAAAATAAATTAAATGAATTATATTTTAATAAATAAATATTATATATTAATATTTAAAAAATAAATAACTCTTTTTAACACCCAGACGATCAATGAACTAGATAATAGTTGTTTTCAAATGACTGTATAATATAATTAAATAAACATTTATAAATTAAAAAACTGTTAATCAATAAGATTTTTTATAAATTGTACTATAATCAATTATAAAATAAATAAATTGGCAATTTTGCTTGTGAATTATTTAACCTTTAATAATTTGTGTATAAATTATTTAATATTAAGTAAAATTATTTTTTTAATTAATTTTTATTTACAACCTATTCAAGAAAATTATTTAAATATTTTTCTAACTTATTTTGATGCAATTTATTACAAAAAGGGAAAACTATTAAAAATCTAATAAAGATGTAATCATTTTTAATCATTTTATTATTGGCATAATAGTATAAATATAAAATATTAATTATATCTAAAATAAACTGAACTTTCTATTAATTTAATTTATGTGTATATAAGCATAATAAAATATCGCAAAAACACTTTTATCAATGAATGATTAATTTGTTAAGTATGAAAATACCCCGAATGAACCAAAGCAAACTAAAAAAGTACTATCATGTTTATTATGCAATTAAAATGCAATATTTATTTTTATTAATGAAAATCATAGTACTTTTCTAATGATAAGAGTTATTGATACATTTATCATACAATTGTATTACATGACAATATTTATTACACCTATTATACTATATAATAATATAGTTATCACGCAAGCTATTTTTTAAGTATATTTAAATAATTAATTAAAATATTATACACCTACGATTAATCAAAAAAGTTTGTTTACATCATAAGTTAGGTACTTTTGATAGATTATAAATTAGGGTATACTACAGCTACCATGTTTAGGATTCATGTACTAAATGTACTCCAGTATTACGTTATAATAAAACCTGTTTTCAAAATGACAACAATTCCCTGATTAGCCACTGAATACCCCGTTTGTACCAAATGTTTGCGCAAAATACTACTGACTGTCAATAATATATAAATAGCGAGTTCGTGTTATTTATTTTATTACATTTTATATTACCCGGAGTGTCAGTTCATTTTCTACAAAATTATTTCAATTGTAGTTTTATAAAAGTTTTTATTTTTGTTTGACTCAGCCTTACAATGGATTTTGTGACCATATTAACAATATTTGTCGGTATTATATCGGCTATTGCTTTGTAAGTACCATAAAAAATTAATTATTAAAATTTAGAGTGAATTTAGAGAGAGAGAGAGAGAGGATTAAAAATAAAAAGTACTTTTTAATACCAATAAATTAAATAATTTTTATAAATATTTATTAGTCAAATATTTTTTTATAAAGCTTACATTTAGATAACAATTATTACACTAAACATAATTAACAAACTAATAACTATTGAATGACAGTTACATTAGACGTCGATTCACGTACTGGAAGCGTATGGGCCTCCCGGGGCCCGACTTTTTCCAATATAAAGGCTTTTTCAAAGTACACCACGATTGGACCCTGGAGCAAGTAAAAAAATACGGCAAACTATACGGCAGTTATGTGTTAACCAAAAAACTGGTCGTGATCAATGAACCCGATCTACTGCGGGATATAATGGTAAAGGATTTTCATATATTTCCCGATCGCCGCGGGTTTCATATGGGGTCATCAAAAATAGCCAAAAGTCTGTTTTTCCTACCGGGGAATGACGACTGGAAACGGGTCCGGTCTATACTGTCGCCGGTGTTCACGTCGGGTAAACTGCGGGCAATGATGGCTCACATATCAGGCGTTTCCGACAGATTTGTCAACAATTTGGATGAGTTTGAGAAAAATGGTAAGTTTATGAAGCATTTTATAGATTTATTAGTAAATTCCTTAAAGTTAGCATGTGCACATAAATTTTGAAAAAATATATTATTTGCAAATATATTATTTATATTAATTAATTGTGCACCGATCTGTAAGCCAATTAAGTTAATTAACTAATATATTGCTAAACATCTTTAAAATGCATTTTAAAATTACAGTTTGTTTTATAAATAGAAACTCAATTTTTAATTATTATTTATTGATAGTGGCAGTTATAAAACAATAATTGATCGTCTACATGCATAAAAGGGTTATTTATTTTTCAATTCAAACTGTATACAAAACATAATCATTGCATTTATAGTATCTAATATTGTTTACTACTTTGAGAAATGCAATGATTATGTTATATATACAGTTTGCATTGAAAAATAGATAACCCTTTTAAGCATCCAGTGGATCAATTGTTGTATAGTACAACAATTATTGTATAATAATAACTTTGTAAGTACTGTAATCTTAATTTAAAAATACTGTACATTTCATATAAATTCATAAATTTTAAATTTTAAAAATGATTAACCAAAAACATTTAACTTACTTTTTTTCTTTAGCATAATAATTTTATTATTATTTTTTAACATAATAAGTAATCAGGGACAAGTATAATAATTCTTCTAATTCCCGTAATACAATGCTTACAATTATATGGTTTTTATTACTTTAAAACAATCAGTAACTGTTTTTTTAAGTTTTAACCCTATATTTGAAATATAAAATACATATTATTATTTAATTATCCTAGGTGAACCGGTAGATATGCGCAAATACGTGGGTGCTTTTGCAATGGATGTGATCAGCGCCTGTGCCTATGGTATAAACGTCGAGTCCATCAATAACCCCAACCATCCCATTGTGACAAATGCTATGAAAATCCTGAATACCGACGCCGGTGTGGGTATTGTGCTGTCGGTAATGGTGCCCGAAATTGGCAAAC